AGAACGCGCGCAGCAGCCGCGAGGACCTGCGGGAGCGGAGGGAAAAGGGAAAAGAAATCATCCCTCAGTGCCCAACCCTCTCCTCTGGGTGCCACCAGAGCTGGCTGGCACGGGTTTAAGCCGTGGAAATATTGAATTACAGAGGGCTGGGCAGCTCTCAAAGCCACGCTGAGCCATGCCCTGCCAGGGCTGGGAGCTGGCATTTCACAGCCTTCCAAAAACGGGACCAGTGGAGCACGGAGGGTTTAATGATGTCTGGGGGAAATTAGCACCTTTGATTGGGTTGCTAATTGCTGGAGCAGTGCTGGCTGAGGGCGTTGTGAATGGATGTATTCTCTCATTAATGGTACAGTCCGGGTTTCAGTGTGAAGTGGACAAATCAAACCTCCTTCAGCAGCAGCTCTGAGCTTTGTGAGCTTCAAAAACCTGAGCCACTCATTGAAACCAGGCAGAGCTTTGCTCCCTCAGCACCACAGCTTCTCTTTTTGTGTCTTTGAGATCACCTGGATGGGAAAACATCAACCCTTGCCGGCCACAAGTGCCACAGAAATCCTGGAAAAGCAGCAGCAGCAGCAGCAGCAGCAGCAGCAGCTCTGAGATTGGGACTGCTGAGAGCTCAGGGATGGCACAGCCCTGCTGCTCCCTTCGCCCCAGCTCTGCTGCTCTGCACACCCAATCCTGGCGGGTTTTTTTTTTTCCCAGCAGAAAGACGAATTGTGTTTTGTTTGCCTGCACTGGAGATCTTTCAGAAACGCAGCACAAGAACAAAGGCAGGAGCTGCCCCTGGGAGCTGCGTGTCCCCAGGGGCTGCCTGGGCTCAGCTGGCACCAGCAGCTCCCGCACCCTCCCAGCTCACACACAGGGCACCTTCACCTCCTGTCACCTCCCTGTGGCAGCTCAGCACCCCAGACAGCAGATGGCACATGCAAGGGGCTGGCTGACAGATGACAGGGAATATATTTAATGTGCTATTTGCATTTGCTGCTAAATTTGTCCCCCAGAGATGGAGCCTGGATCAGCACTCGGCTCCCAGCAGCAGGGCTGAGCAGGGGATGCTTGCCCAGGGATTTTGGGCTCTGAAAAAGGCACTGCTGCATGACTGGGCAGCTCCCAGAGCTGGAAGCACACTGAGCCTTGGAGCTGAGCCTGTGTCTGCCTGAATTTCAGGAGAAACAACCCAAAAACTGCTCCAGCAGTGCCGGAGGAAGCTGCTGTGGGGTGGAAGGAAATCCCAAGTGAAGATGTTGCAGATGTTCCCAAAATGCCAGACTAACATGGACTGGCAGCACTTGGACACCTGCAGTGGTGAGAGAGAGATCCCTCCTAAAACTGCAGTGGTGAGAGATCCCCCCCAAAAGTGCATTTTGTAACCTGAGTTTGGTGAGAGCAGAGCTCAGAGAGAGGCAGGAGGAGGCTGAACTCTGCCACGGAGACACCAGGACAAATCCCAG